GATATTGTTTTGTGATTTTCTAATGTGTTTAATTTATAATTTTCTTGCATTTGGTACACCAAAAGAATTTTCACGCGAGTAATTCATAAGTTTTTAGTCTAAAAATATGTTATTAATATTTTCATGAAATTTTATAATTTTAGTAACAATCTGGCAGTGGTACAAAAAATTCAATAAATTACAAATAGGTTTCATTTTTAATTGATGCAAATTATTTTATTAGTTGGCTGTGTGCTATTATTGAAGTCTGCCAACGCTTTAGAACACGCTTTCTGTAAGATCTCCATTTTGAGAAGACTGATATTGGTCAATACTTTTCACAATAATCTACATAGAAATATTCTTCACGTAATCTGTTGTTATGGGAAACTTTCTTTTTTTTTTTTTTTTTTTCTAAACTGATATTTTATTTTTAATTACATGTACGGGCAAGCATTTCTCTCTTCACTTTTGCAAAGAATATGTATTGGGTTTGGTTTGTTTACGCCTGTTGAATATGATCTCCGAATTAATATTAAATATCTAGGTTAATTTGTGTCTTATGGGAGTCAAACCTTTTGTGTTTTACCTTTTATACTGAGTGTAATGCTTTCCTAAATATAATTATGGGGATCAGAGAAACCTGTAAAAAGTTAGATTTTGTAATTTTTACAAAATTAATATCTTTAAATTTAAAAATACGAAAACATGAACTTTTTTGTCATTTAAAACATTTCTGTAACTGCAAATGTATGTCTGCAACAAACAGTTCTGAAAACAAAGGCAAGTAAATACTTTTGTGGTCATGGTGTAAATTATTTCTGTATGTATTATTTCAAGTGTTATTTGCTGTCTATCAGAAAGATAGTTTTTTAATGTTTTCATTTAAAAGCTATAAATCATTACATATATTGTAAGATCTGATTCGTTTTGCTATCATCCAAGTAACTCGATCTTTATAGTAAGCTTGGCTAATTCTTGCACCGGCATGAAGAATAACAGCACTGGAGTGTGTAAATAGATTTTTTATTCTCAAACTCTTTAACAAAAGGCATGTCCTTCGTGCTCACAATAACACCGACTACTCGCGGTGAGAACTTAAGGATAATTTTACAATAAATTGAGAAAGGTAAATAGTATTGCTAGACTACACAATTTACTTGAAGCTAACAGGTTGACTCGGCAACCTACATTGGCGATAGACTTAATAAACGGCTAGAGTGCATAGCTGCAACTAAGATTAATAGCTGGAGGACAAAATAGCAAACGTGCACTACACTAGCGAAATCACGCTCTGTCGAACGTTGTCGTTTCCATCTGTTTAAATACTCTCTTCACTTAATTTACATCTAGGCGAGGATGCAAGGGGAAATAAGAAGTTCAGAAACCAAAATTAAAATAGTTGGTTGCTCAAACTAAGGGAAACCATACAGTATTATATTTCTGCATATATAGAGAGCTATGACTATAAAATATAAGAGAGATGAATATATATTTGATGAATATCGAAGTGCAGAAATATAGTTTACTTTGTTTGTATAAAGGCCTCAAATGAAAAAAATATCCACACACTGCTCAACCTTTACTTCAAAACAATATTAATAGACATTTGTGTGTCTTGTGTTCTCATAAGTTCATCAGTGCTTATTCGTGTTCATCTTGCTGACTAATAGTGAAAATGTCTACAATTCCTTTATTTTAAAGGCGAGCAAGCTATTATTTAATGGCACAAAACTAAAAAATTAAGTGTATAAAGACGTCTTGTTTTTATCTGTGAAAATAAATATTTTTGATTTTATGAACAAAATACAGTACAAAGTCCGTAATCCGGACTTGTCGAGACTTCGGTTTTCGTATTTTTAAATTTAAAGATATTAATTTTGTAAAAATTACGAAATCTAACTTTTTACATGTTTCTCTGATCCCCATAAGTATGACTTCGGCGATTCCGGATTAAGGGTTTTTCCGGATTATAGATCATCAATTTAAATCTGGTAAGATGGCATGCAGAAATTATACAATTAAAAATATGAAACCGTAATTTATAAAATAAAGAGCAATTATGATCTAAAGGAAATCAAAATTTACAAATAAAAGCCTAATATTTATTTGTTTATTTTATTAAACATCACTTTCAATGCAAGTTGTTTAAGTTACTTCGTTTTTGCGCTAAATGCGCATGCGTAAATGCATTACGCACATGCATAAAGCGTACAAAAAAAAGTTTGTGGCTTTGAGGTCCGGATTATAGATCATTCCGGATAATGGACATCAGGGTTACAGACTTTGTATCCTTATTTTACGAAAGTTAAGTCCCATATAATTTTGTAGTATTTTATGTATGTTTTGTAGGATTATTTTGTAGGATTTTTTACTACAAAACTATATATATATATACACAGAAAAAGAGACATTGTTGGCAATTAAAATTACTACACCAAGAAGGAAAGCAATCGATATTTATTGTACTTATAAGTATAATGGGAGGAAGACATTATTGAATTTTCAGATGGCGTAGTATTCGGTGCACAGAGCTGTCACCTTTGGCAGCAACAACGGCTGTAATCTGGCTGAATATCGAATCGAACTGAAGTTGGATTACATATACTGGTGCTTCATTCCATGTGGCTTCAGTTCTATGTCAGAGTTCATCAATCATAGTGGCTGCGAAGTGGTGGTGTTCCGTTCTCATGGCAATCCATGATCAGGTGTTCTGACTGGGTGAGAGATCTGGAGAACATGCTTGTCAGTTGAACACTCTGTAACGAGGAAGGTCAGGATAGCACAGGCAGCATGCAATCGTGCATTATCTTGTTGAAACACGGCTTCAGGCTGGCTTCAAAGATAGAGCACAGCTATGAAGCTATGAGCCTTAACATGTAAGAAATGTAACGGCGGCTGTCTGCATTATTGGCTATGTGAAAAATAGGTAACCGGGGGGTACGTAACTATTTGCACGCCAGCGACGTCAACCTTATCCTCTGTCTGTTCCTGCCAGTATTAAACCAACTGTGCAATCATCCTGTCAATACTGAATTTAGATGGCATAGCTTTGTGCGTGTACCCTAGAATTCTAATCATTTGTATTTCCCAGCATGTATTAGCTTTGATGCAAATTTGACTTCTATTGCAGAGTTCATCATGGTGTAGCAGTTTTAATGGTCAGCAGTGTATGTATATTTTTTAATATGAGGGCTAATAAATGAAAACTTGCTACACAAAATATATTTTCACCAACTACGAACAGCTGTGCTATAACAAAGATGTAGATCCAAAATCCGCTGAATGTAAAAATCCAAACACTACAGCCAAGCAACCTTGTGAAATACGAATATTTTTTATTGCCATCTTATGTTTCACACATTAAAGGCCAGTATTCTTTACAGACTTTACTTTCACTCATGAAGCTGTGTATGTTATGTTTCGTTGTCTATTTATTAATTAAGCTAAATTAAAGGAAGAAGTTAAATTCAGTTTTATTTATGAAACTAAATTCATATAGCACTAAGAATTTGTGAATATTGTTACTGCTCAGTTTTGTTTCATTGTTTAAATCTGCTTCGTTTACCCTCTTCTACCATTTGTTAATTTTTCAGCTACTGTTAATTTTATGTTTAAGAATTAATTGGATTAAGCTTTATATTTATAGGTGGCAAAGTTAAATATTAAAAATGCATATTGAGCTGGAATTGTTCCTCATTTTAACTCTTTGCACTCATATTACAGAATATTGCATTCATTCAATAATTTGGCATTTGTGAGACTAATTTTTTTTTTTTTTTTTCATTTTTGAGTTTATGAGTACGTTTTTAAGGGTCTGTTTTCATGACAGTTGATTTCAGGAAAATATATGAAATTTACCACCAGCTTGTGTGGAAAATATTTTCCACTTTAGTGCAAATTGTACATGATTCCAGAAAATGATGCAGTCATTTAATTTTTAATTGCAAAAGAGGATTAATGTGGGCTTTTCTGTATCAGTATGTGCAGCACAGAATTTATTCAGAATCATTTATTGATAAATTCAAGCCAATAAAAGATACTAAATTTTGATGGAATTGCTTTTTGAATAAGCGGATTTTCTGCATCTTACTTGTTGAATTACTTCTGCGTCTGTGATTTGTTTTAACTACAGGTTCAGTGCTTATTTAACTTCTAGCAGTTTTTTTTTTTTTTTTTTTTTTTTTTTTTTTTTGAGTTTATCAGCTGCAATTAATAAACATACTGTCTTGATAAATGAAATCTTACTGGTATAATTGACTTCTGATAAATTGCTTGATAAGTAAGAAAGAGTAAAAGAATAGGAAAAAATAGAACTCCTTCATTATTTGTGTTTCATATGCTTTTCATATCATGTAGCATGTTGCAAAGCCAACTGATGCAGACCAAATGTTAATTAAGTTGCAATCTATCCGCCATTTATTCTGTGAAAAGGAAGGAGTATGGTAAACTGGGAGTGGAGTATTGTATCCATATAACAGTCTATGACTTAAAAATCAATGCATATTAAGGGTCTGAAAGCATTGACAGTTTAGTGAATCAAATATTATGCAAATGTGCTGGCTTGTAAAACTAATGCTGTACAGGAATATCAATACTATGAAACTTACAAGGCAGCACATTCATCAATATATTGTTGGTAAACATTTCAAATTAAAATTTTCTTTGCATTTTATCATTTTTTTAAATTTTTTTATTATTGTACATTGCACAAAGCATAAAATGTAATATTTCAATATGTCAGGATCTGGCATTAAAGTAATATCTCTGATGACATGTTATATATTTGTATTGAAGTAAACTTTTATTTGTTAATAATAAGTGCATATAATAGTGCTAAAACATTTATGTGAACAAATTAAATCATTTTTGAACAAATTAAATATAATTTGTTTGTTAGAAGTTATATATGCATTATGTATTAAATTATGTATGCATGTATAGTTATGCTTTATTTTTTAATTTGCCCCCCCCCAAGTGCATAATCAATAATAGTTAATGGATTTATCGTATTTCTGCAGGTGAAACTCACCGTTTCTTCTGCATCTAATGGAGCACTGTTATCGAATTTTCATCCTAGATATGTAAGCATACAATATTAAAATACATTTAATATCAGATCTTAAAAGTTTTTTTTTTTTTTTTTTTTTTTTTTTTCCCATTTTCAAATTTTTAGTGCATTTCTTAGAATGTATTAAGTGTGGTATTTATAAAATTAGAGTGCTATTCTGAGGCAACTTCTTGATGAATCAGATGTTGTGAGAGAATCAAAATCACTTTTTCAACATATACCATATGGACTTTTTTATCTTGTCAATGAAGCAGGTAGTTCCAGAGATGTAAGTATATGAAAACTTTATTTTATCTGTTGAAAATTTATTTACATTTTAATGCTCAGCTCCACATAAATTAATCTGTTTAAATTCGATTCTTTTTATTTCTCCAAAGCTATCATTAAAAGATCCGTCTTTTCTTCTGAAATATGTCTCATTTATACTTCAAAAGTAAAAACCAGGACTGCCTTGTGTTAGAGAACAAATTGTAGCCTTCCCTCTCACACAAGATGCCTCCATAATGAGTAATGAGAGCTCATGTTTTTGTGAAATGTGGTTTCATGAAGCTAAATCATTCAGTTCAGATAGCAGGGAGGTGTAAACAGAATTAACAGGTCAGCGAGCCTGCCAAAAGCTCTTCCTCGAACTCACAAACTCTGTGTTTGTATACTTGTACATTAACTAATTTGCAGCCTGGTGAAAGTTCACAAAAGTAGAAGTAATAACAGAGGCAAACTAATAAGATAACTGGATTAATTAACATAAAACCTTACAGTCGCTCCTACCAGAATTTAAATAATTTTGAAACAAATGTCTTAATGACATTGGAAAAGAACAGCAAAATCTAAACAAAGTAAAGTTTCTAAATATCTTGCAATTTTACACTGTAACATTTCATTGGAGGCTCAAGATTTCCTTACAGCAAAAGCTGGAAAAGAAAATACTTTAATGTGCATTTCAAGACATTTTCTACACAGAAGCTATGCAAGTGGTAAACCCCACTGTAGTAGGTGGAAGAGATGTCACAGAAAGGGGGCCTTTCTTTGTCTATGATGCTGTCATTTTGGAATCATGTGATACCCTGAAATTATGTATGCACCGCCATTATGGTTGATGGAACATGGAATTCTCATTATTTCTTTGTGGCAACGAGATTATTTTTTTAAGTTTTGCTCTTACTTTGTGGCAGTGACTATTTCCATAGACATAATATAATATAAATCTGTTTGACCGCTGTGCCGCTATATCATGGAGATATTACTATGCATTGTAACAGCAGCACAGGATGGAATTAATTGAAGCAATCTGAGGAGAGAGTAATTTGTTTCATTTTGCAATAGTTAAAAATATTGCATATTCATAATTTTTTTAGTAATGTACATGAAATAATGTTACATAATATGCTATCTTTTTTCAAAAGACAGATTAAGATTTTTAATGAAAAACTAAATACTGAAATTTTTATGCATATTTCTTTCCCAATAATTTCTTTATCCTTAGATTTTTTTTTACATCATCTCACATATTACATAACTTACATATAATTTAAGAAAAAGTCGTTCATGGTGAAATACACTTTAAATGTTTCATTACATGCCTGAACTGTTTAAATTAATTTGCCCATTTTCTCTTTGAGCTGATTAATACATAGATCGCTCACACTGGCATTTAAATTCAAGTCATAATAAACTGAGTAAAAAATTTGATATTATTTTTTACTTCCTTGTATGAGGTAAAGGAAGTATTGTAATTGTGAATAATTTCGGATATCATAATTCGGTAGAAATATCCATTTTAACCACTTCAGAACCCATTTGGACAATTTTTTTTGACGTGACATCTGTGCATGTGGACAGAATAAAGGATATTTGTTTCCAAATAGGGTTGTAAAATAGATTTAGTAAAGATTTTTTTTTCGTGACATCTGTGCATACGTATAACAAATAATAAAGGGGAAATAATGAAAGAAGAGGAATTCAATCAACTCCAACATAACATCATCAGGAGGAGATACATTGAAGTTAATTAAGATTTTTCTCCATAAGAAATTTTAAGCTTTCGGAATTAGCTGATGTACTATTTTTATATATTTTTTAAATCTTAATAGTTTACCCAAAAATTCCGGCCCTTTTTAAAGCAAGAAAAATTGCAAAAATACAAAGTAAAATCATTGATGAAAATTTTTTCAAATTAAAAAGATCTTTCCTAAAATCAAAACTTATCCAAAATACGTAGAAGAATTAAAATTTAATAATTTTTTTAAACCAAAAATAATCCATAACTAAGCAAAAATTATAAAACACAAATTGTGCGAGAACCTCCTTTCAAACATAAGTTTGAAAGAATGAAGAAGCCATTAGATTCCAAGATGCCCAAGTGTTGCCACTTGTGCCTCTTTGGCAAAACTAAAAACCATAGTTGAGAAAGGTATCCCTTGAAAGGCGATTTAAATTTATGGAGCAAAGAATTTCGGAGTTCAGAAAAAAAATTTAATTCAAATAAAAAACTGACACTTGAAATGTAAACTAAAAAGAGGACAAAAAATTATTCCTAATTGTAAAATGTATTAAATACTTCCAAATTAAAACCCAAATATGAGTTTAAAAATGCAAGAAAACTGCAATAAAAATCACACCCTTACGTGGCTTTGTGAGCTGTTTTTTTATTCTTATATGTTTGTAAATTATATTTTTTTCTTCAAAAGTGATTGAAGTATATTGTTCTTACATTGTTAAAATTTTTATGCCTTTTGTTAATCTGCCTGCAATAGTAGAATTATCAACAATTTAATGGGATTAAGCCTAAATTGTGCATCTTTTGCTTTAAAAGTGATTGAAGTATGTTGTTCTTATGTTCCAGTTTAGGTTTTTATGCCTTTCGTTAATCTGTATGCAATAGTTATAGAATTATCAATAATTTAAAAGTGTAAGTGGACCTAAGCCTAATGAGGCAGAATTTGTTTAAATATGAAACTCTTAGTAGTCTAGTGAATCAAGACAGTTGGTGGAACAATTTTAGGATCTTTCTGCGAAATGGTGGGAAGTTCACTATATTTTGGTGCACTGAACATTTTATGTTTCTGCATGTTGGAAGAATTGTTTGTTTTTGTATCGAAACTCTAATTTTAATTGCAAAAATTGATTTTAACTTTTTTTTTACTGTATTCAGTGGTTTATGTTTTTTGCATTTTACAGTTTGTTATGAAAATGTTTTGAGTGTTTATGTATTTTTGCCTTTACATGAAGTGAGAACTCAATTGACTGGATAAGAAATATATCTATAATGAATTTTTATGAAATAAGTTTAAATTAAGTGCAGCAGAAAATGTGCATAATTTAATAGGCACATGGCTTCCTAGTATGGCCTATTAAATCATCAGATTTTTTTTATGCTTAATGCAAAATTAATATTACTAGTTTCCTCACAAGTTACATTATACTTGGAGAATAAATTGACACATGTTATTAAAATGAAACAAAATATCTTAGAATGGCAAGCTAAAACTATATTTAAGCAAAAGCAAAAGTAAGAGCTTTTGCAATGCGGAAAATTCAGTGGTTATTTGTATAGCAACTAAGCAACACTATATTTTCTTTTATATATTCTATTTACTATATTTTCTTTTGAAAATTTTCCTTTCTTCCAGGATGAAATAATATTTCTAGTGTACTTTCCGGCCAAATTTGGAATAATTATGTATTTTATATGCAATTTTTTCATAATTGTGAAAGTGACAATTATATATACTTATTAGGATCCTGTCTTGTATAAATATCCTCCAGAAAATACACCTCTTTTGAATCTTACAAGTATGTTTATGACAATAGGACACATGATTCCTGACATTGATTTAAGTACCCCACTTCTTAGGTATGCTTAACTTCATTTTATTTGTTAAATTTTTTTTTATTTGTTTGTTTGTGTGTATCTGTGCATGTGTTCGTGCATTTTCTAGCAAATGCAAGTACTGTATATTCCGTCATATAATTTGTACCTACACTACATTTAACTCATAAAGAAAAGGGTGTGTGCAAACATGCACCCTTTTCTTTATGAAGAAACCCAAAATGTACACGTGTGATGCTTTTATCTTTTGAAAGTCATTCAGTTGAAGATTTTTCCAAGGCTTTCAAAACAGTCGCACACTGAATTGACAAGGGATAAGAGGAAAAATATGTGCTTGAGGGAGTAAAATAATTCTGTAAACAGGGTGGGTTATGTTTAATGTTGGTGTACACAAAATTGTTGTTCTAGATTTTTGAGTAAAGGGGGACACAATTTGAGGTGATAATGCATTTTCAACTTAAATGAATTCTCTGAAATATGAGTCAGATGTTTTTTCATTTTCCAGTCATTTAAATCTGTGATTCTGAAGTGAACACTGAAGGCTTTAGTAAATCGCATTTGCCTTAGTTAAAATACGGTTGATCTAATGTTTCTTTTAGTAGTAAATATGATTCCTGCCAAATGAAACAAACATAGTGCTAATTTCAAAAGCAAAGTCATTCCGTTTTCGAAAGAAAACGTAATGCAGTGCTGCAGCAAGGATGTTTGGTGTCGCAAGTAAAGAAAAATGCAGTCACAAAAATTAGTATGCCAACAAATAAATGTGCTTTGCATAAAGAAGTAACAAAATATCCTATCGTAGAAGAAAGTGTTGCGAAACTGGGTTCTAGAAAATCACTAGAATTGATTGATTATAACAATAAACAGCATAGGTATATATGCCTTAAAATGGGCAAAAAAGAATGCAAATGAAAGTAAAAACTTTTAAGCAATTTTGAGTTGGTGTAGTCGATTTATGGCAGGGAATAATTTTGATCTATGAGGAAAAACAAAGGCAAAAAGAAAATTTACTGCCACATATTGGATACATGGGTGAAACTTCGGCAATGTTTCATCTAGAAAATAAGCCAATTGATATAAAAGGGACAAAAACGTTTCACATAAAAACAACAGGTAAGAAAAGTCTCACTTCACTGTAGTGCTTTCCTGCTTGTATGGTACAAAATTAAAGCACATGGTTATTTCTAAGAGAAAGATTTATTTTCCCAAATAGTGTTTTCATTCGTCTAATGGAAAACACAAAGATATTGTTGAGTGTAATACAGCCATGACAGTCATTACAAGCAGATTAATGCCATTGGTTCAGCTGTTGAAAGAGTGTAATACAGCCATGACAGTCATTACAAGCAGATTAATGCCATTGGTTCAGCCTCAGTGGCGGCTCGTAATAAGCACTGCAGAACTGCAGCACCTATTTCCAATTATTATTGTTTTCAATATTCAATATAGTGTGCCCTTTAGTCTTTAATTCTTTCTTTATACTTTTGCGATACATAATCCAAGCTTAATTTCAGTAGCCATCGCCCACTTTATGAAAAAGGTACGAAAGTCTTTGTTTGGAACTGCGTGCTTCACAGTTCCAGCGATGTGGTGTTTGGCTGTTCTGCGCATGCGCACACAGGAAACAGCACGCGAGATGGGTAGATAGAAGAGCACTGTCGCTCTTGCAGTGTTGAAATTCTGGCATGTTGTTGAAAACATGATTTCTTTTTACTCCGCGCGTGTGGTATTCCTGCACAAGGTGGAACTTCAGCATACGGGCCATAAACAGAGTTCATGAGAATTTGCAACCTTTTAAAGAATTGCCTTACTAAAATTCAATCAACATCAAATGCATATCAAGCTATTGCAAAAACAACAGAAATTTTAAAATATCTAAATGATGATAATTTCAAATTTTGGTTAAAGCTTTTTTATCAGATGCCTCATGTTGAAATAATATACAACTAAATGCAATCCAGAAAATTTAAAGTTAACGAATATATAACAAATTTCAAAACTGTTATTTTAGAATTAAGAAACTCAAAGTACTGTGAGAACTTTTCAAAAACACTGATGGCAGAAGCTAAGGAAATATGTGACTTTATACTATATATTGATATAATGCACTGATATTCTTCCATTAAACACTTAGCAGCTGCTAATTTGTTAAACAAGAAATGCTTCGCTAGTTTTAGGAATGAACATTCTACAGAAGAAAGAAGAAATAGTACTGACCACTGTAGCATATCCAATAATTGACAAAGAAAAGCTTGAAACTGAACTAAACGTATACTTGCAAATTAATTGAGCTACTGAAATTTATCTTCGAAAATAATCTAGATGATGTTCTTAGTGAAATTATGAAACTGATAAAAATTCTCTTGAGAGTTCCCGTAACTACATCAGAGGCAGAAGGCTGCTTTTCAGCATTGAAAAAAATGAAAATTTTTCTAAGAAGCACTAGGAATTCGGAAAGACTAAATGCGCTTGCATTGCTTTCAATAAAGAAAAATTTCCTCAGTTGTCATCCAGAGATCAAGGAGAAAATTATTGATCTTTTTCTCGCATAAATTAAAACAAGAAGAATGGATTTCATTTTTAAATCAATAGAGAAAGATTGAATTGTAACAATTTTGGTTAAAGTAATTAAGAAATGTTTAATTTTTTTCTTGTAAGATTTCATGAAGTTTCAAAATAAATTTTCTTTTTATACATGTTTGTTTCATTTTAGACAATTTTAAAGCAAAGGTTAATTTTTTTTTTGGAATAGCACCCCCACTAAATTTAGCCATGAGCCGCCACTGTTCAGCCTTTAGATGTGTATATCAAAAAACCATTCAAAGACAATTCAACATGATTGTGGAATGTGTCGATGTTAGTAGGTGAAAAAAAAAACATTTACAAAAAGAAGCCAAATGCATCATGCCAGTCTAGAAATAGTGCCTGAGTGGATAATAAAAGCATGAAGTGAAATTAAACCTGATATAATTCAAAAGTCATTTAAAAATTTAGTGTATTTAACAATTTAGATGGAAGGAAAGATGTATATTTATTTGTGGATCACAGATCAGTGATAGTGAAGATAAAACAGAATTCAATGATGTCCCTGAAGATATAGTCCCTGAAGACAAATATGAGTAACTGTTTATTTTATCTGATAATAGAATTTTTTTAAGTTTGCTATATATGTCATTTCTTTTTGGCAATTTTGTGTTGGTGTAGTCGATTTATAGCAGGGAATAATTTAGATCTATGAGAAAAACAAAAATTTCACGAAGGCTTCTGAAAGATTTGGACAACAAATTAACAAGTTCCCCAGAAATATGTTATTAACCTATAAAGACGACAAAAAAAAAAAAAAAAAAAAAAAAAAAATTACTGTCACATATTGGATATTGTGAAACTTTAGTAATGTTTCATATGATAGAAAATAAAACAATTGATGTGAAAGAGACAAAAATGTTCACATTAAAATAACAGGTAAGAAAATTCTCACTTTTCAATTGTGCTTTCCTGCTTAGTGGACGGTACAAAAATTTAAACACATGGTTATTTTTAAAAGAAAGATTTATTTTCCCGAATGGTGTTTCATTCGTCTAATGGAAAAAACATGGAGATGTTGTTGAAAGAGTGTAATACAGCCATGGCAGTCATTCCAGGCGGATTAAAAAAGCCATTGGTTCAGCCTTTAGATGTGTATTCAATAAACCATTCGAAAACATTGAAAGTGATAGTGGAATGCATGGATGTTAGAAGGTGAAGAAAAACATTTACAAAAAGAAGCCAAATGCATCATGCCAGTCTAGAAATAGTGCATGAGTGGATAATAAAAGCATGAAATGAAATTAAACCTGACATAATTCAAAGTCATTTAAAAATTTTAGTATATTTAACAATTTAGATTGAAGGAAAGATTAGTTTATTTGTGGATCACAGGACAGTGATGGTGAAGATGAAACAGAATTCAATGATGACCCTGAAGATATAATCTAAGACAAATAATGGAATAGTGCCTGAGTGGATACAAATAGTGCCTGAGTGGATAATAAAAGCATGAAGTGAAAGTTAAACCTGATATAATTCAAAAGTCATTTAAAAAATTTAGTGTATTTAACAATTTAGATGAAGGAAAGATGTATATTTATTTGTGGATCACAGATCAGTGATAGTGAAGATAAAAACAGAATTCAATGATGTCCCTGAAGATATAGTCCCTGAAGACAAATATGATAACTGTTTATTTTATCTGATAATAGAATTTTTTTTTTAAGTTTGCTATATATGTCATTTCTTTTTTTGGCAATTTTGTGTTGGTGTAGTCGATTTATAGCAGGGAATAATTTAGATCTATGAGAAAAACAAAAATTTCACGAAGGCTTCTGAAAGATTTGGACAACAAATTAACAAGTTCCCCCAGAAGAAATATGTTTAACCTATAAAGACGACAAAAAAAAAAAAAAAAAAAAAAAAAAAAAAAAAAAAAAAAAAAATTACTGTCACATATTGGATATATTTGTGAAACTTTAGTAATGTTTCATATGATAGAAAATAAAACAATTGATGTGAAAGAGACAAAAATGTTTCACATTAAAATAACAGGTAAGAAAATTCTCACTTTTCAATTAGTGCTTTCCTGCTTAGTGGACGGTACAAAATTAAAACACATGGTTATTTTTAAAAGAAAGATTTATTTTCCCGAATGGTGTTTTCATTCGTCTAATGGAAAACATGGAGATGTTGTTGAAAGAGTGTAATACAGCCATGGCAGTCATTCCAGGCGGATTAAAGCCATTGGTTCAGCCTTTAGATGTGTATATCAATAAACCATTCGAAAACAATTGAAAGTGATAGTGGAATGCATGGATGTTAGAAGGTGAAGAAAAACATTTACAAAAAGAAGCCAAATGCATCATGCCAGTCTAGAAATAGTGCATGAGTGGATAATAAAAGCATGAAATGAAATTAAACCTGACATAATTCAAAAGTCATTTAAAAATTTTAGTATATTTAACAATTTAGATTGAAGGAAAGATAGTATTTAT